AAAAAGCACTTTAAGAAATGATATCAGTGTTGGAGCTAATGGAACAATATCGCAAACAGAACATGATCTGAAAATTGATCCTCAAAAAGCAAGTAACCCCCTCCAGTTTACCCATCAAAAAGGTTCTTAATTATATGCTAATTGGTCAAGGGCGACCCGAAGAATAAATTCAATCACTGAGGACATTGAGCCAGTTGGGCCTTAAAGCCTTCATCACTCCTTAGAGGACTTATTTAGGCCTTATAATGTCCAATATTCTTCAGACAATGACAATAAGTCATGGATACAGTCTGGTGAATCAAAGCAGTCATTCAGAGAACACTGGCTAATCAGAACAAATCTTGTTATTCCACTAGCTAACTGGAAGCCACTCAAGCGAATATACCAGTTGTCCGACAAAAGAAGAGAAAAGAACCAAGCCTTAGCAGCTGCTGGTGGCTGGGACAGAGATTAAGGAATTCCAAAGGCACTTATCGAACGAGAGTAAGTGGGTCAAAACGCAAGTAAAGGTCACGAAGGTTACGGTATAGGGAGCTATCAGAACTAAGAACATATCAGGAAATACGAATTAAGAGATAAAATGGCGTATAAGTCAAGGAAGAGCCCATCAGGGCACAGTAGAGATTACCTTCGGAGCGTGACAGCCTCGGCTTCAAGTCGCTTAGCGTCGTCGTCCATCATCGCTAGGGTAGTATGACGCCGACGGCCCGCTTTTATACCCCCGCCCCCTGGGTACGATGCGCACACGCACACACCTTCACCACCACCATGCCACGCCCATTTCGAAAACAAAACACAAGCGCTCACAGCGCTTAAAACTCGAATAGCGTAGAGCTGTGAAGCGTGGTCAGCTGTGTTCCTGCGTAGTACTGCTGAGCTGTTCTTGCAGCACCAGTACAAGCCGCTAAAATTCACACCACGCTTTCAGCGGACTCTTGAAACCCGCCCGGAAACTGCTCTGGGATCTACTAAGGAAGCACTGACATTACTCTCTAAAGGAGGCATCTGTCCGTCATATTTGACCTTTGGGACAAATGTCCTTGAGCTTCGGCTCTGGGACTGAATATAGCACTGGAATTCAACAGTGGGCAGTATTCCACGACTGTTTGCGGCTAAATACTCAATCAGCTGAGACTGAGGTAGCGCCCAACCTGAAGATGCCGCGCCGTGCTTTCACTGGTCCGAACCCTCCTGGGCCCATAAAACTTCCATTCTTTCAAAGAACTGTTGTAGCAGGCATAGGTTATGAAAACTTGGGGTTATAAAAAAGTTTAT